AAGTTTTCATACATTCATTAAGTTGTTGATTATGGAAAGAAATACAAAAAAATTATTTGAATTACTGGTTTCTTAAAAAAGCATTATTGAAGGCTTTAGCTATTTCGACTGATTAACTAATGTAGTGAAAGGATTGATATTATTGAAGTGGAAGATTGATATTATTGAAGGGAGTGGAGTTGAATACCTCAGTGGTTAAGATACTTGCCTTCTGATCCTAGGGTCCTGGGTTCAATTCCTGTCACAGCAGGAATTTTTCTCACGACTAAAACAACTCCACTCCCTAAGCCTCATAAAGAGACTTAGTTTATAAAGAATCATTCTCATTCTGTAAGTGGCATGTGTACTTGCTGTTAGATGTGAAGGATATAAAAAAAAAAAAAAAAAAAAGCAAGCAAATTTTGAATATATGAGCTTACGTATTCCTTAAAAATGACTTGATTGTAGATGTCTTGCCGACTCTCTCGAGGCCCATGAAAACTGTCCTTCCTTGATTAACCTCTGTTTCTCCCTCAGCTAGAGCATCATTAAAAGCTTCCACTGCTTTGGGCCCACGTGCCAAGATTTCCGTTGGAACAATCCCCGCTTTAAGCATAAATATATTTGATTTACACATTGAATTACCTCATGAAACTTGATAAATATGAAAAGATCGATATTACCAAGGACAGCCGCCTGCAATGCTATCATTTACTGAAGAGGTCTTTAACCTATCCTTTCATACAATTTTTGTCATTGCTTCAATTGTGATTTTGCATTTCTTTCATCATAGAATTATTTGTATCAATGGTGCAACATTTACTTCATCAAACCCAGTCTTGTGATTATGTAACCATAATAAAAGCAAATTTGCAAACAAAAGTATAAAATTAGAACTTATTTATTCTAAAAGAGGGGCAATAAATTACTATGGTGATAACAGACGGAGAAAATATAGGCCTAGAGTAGTCGTTTTATTTTCATCATTGAATAAATGTTTTACAGTATTATATTCAATGATACACTGAGTGATAGCGCTATCATTTTGTCTGAATCGAGCATAAACCAAATGCTGTAAAATATTACAAAGCGCCACCAATAGCCGCCTGGATTGCTAATCAAAATACTGTAATTTAATACAGCTAACATTGGGATTCTTATTTACTGTGTTTAAATGTAAGTACAGTACATAATATACACTGTACAATACACATAAATACAATTGAAAAAATAGATATGCACATATAAACAAATGAATGGACATTTAAATGGTGTTTCAAGAATTTCATACTAAATATACAAAATGCGAATATACTAATATTAATTTTAAAATGATTGATATTTGATATGAAACAAAACAAATAAATTAAATATGAACTTATGTTCGTATGAACAGCTCACTTTGTAGGAGACGCATGAGCATTTCTTTTTGTTTTTCTTTGTTGGTAGAATCGTACTTTTCACATTTGTTGTTCACATACACTTCAGCTGGAGTTTGACCACGCTGCAAAGACAATCACATATCATATCATACCTCATGAATTAAATAAATAATCAAGCAAAACAATCACATTTTAAAGCACTTCAACAAATGTTACCCCAAAACAATTCAAAACAATTGAATTGAAATTTACATATCAATTTAATTATTCTTTAATTCTACAATTGCATCTTGTAAATATTCATGTTAACAATAAAACATTGACAAAAATCAATAGTTGCTACAACGATCATGAATAAACATTTCGCTTACTGTAGTGTATAGGCCTAAATCCTAATATCATTAGTCGCCATACAATATCGACATTATAGTTGCCATCATTAATTTCAGTATGCTCCTTATCACCATTATTTAACTATAAACATCTTCATCATCACCATAATCATAATAATCATCATCATCTTCATTGTCATCATTTTTATCTACCTTACCTGGTTTTTTAATTTGGCATTCGCTCCAGCCTTTATCAAGTAATTAGTTGCGTCTATGTGATCTCCATACGAATGGTTAAATTTTAACAACCTGTGAAGTGGAGTATTGCCAAACTGGAACACAATTGAAAACAGTGTTAATCAATAAAGCTCATAACCGTACAAATGATAGCATAATGTGAATAAACAACATATTCATTGTTACCAATCCAGACACAGTCAAAACCTCTGTAAACAAATGAAATAATGCAATCAATAACATTACAGTTAAAATTTAGGTAAATAACTAACTTTCACTTTGTATGAAAAACATTTTCATCGATAATTTTCTTCCATAACAATATTTTAAAACTACTATTATGATGCAATCAATAACATTACAGTTAAAATTTAGGTAAATGTAACCCAACTTTCACTTTGTATAAAATACATTTTTGTGACAATTTTCTTCCATAACAATATTTTAAAACTACTATTATTTTATACTAAATAATGTCCTTTATGATGATTATATTCTCTACTAGCATATATACCTGTGCTCCACACGGTTTTGAATGAGGAGGAGGCAATGTGAACGTTATGGTTAGCATGTTACTATTTTTCTAAAGGACGTCTTTGTAGATGATGTCTCTGTAGATGAGTGTCTTTTCTGGATAGTCCTTGTGAGGAATTATTTTCAAGTTTTATGATGGGCGGATCCAGAATTTTACTAACAGGAAGGGGCGAGGTGGCGGCACAACAATTTTATATAACATAAATATGCCAAAAATTTAGCCGCAAAAACGAGGATGTGTGTGCCCAACTTAATGAACCCACCCTTCTTGACCTGCCTCCCCCTCCTCCTTACTTTATCCTATGTCATTGCAGAAAAATTTAGCCATACTGTATATTGACGTGATCGAAATCAACCTGAATTCGAGACAGAGGGGCCTACGGACGCTCAGTACTGTCTAGGTATGGTCATTGCAGAAGAATTTTGCCATACTATATATAGACGCGATCGAAATCAACCTGGATTCCATACAGAGGGGCCTACGGACGCTCTAGTACTGTCTAGGTATGTTAGCTAGGCTAGGCCTGTTCTCTGTACGGTGTAGGCCTAGGGCTAGTCTAGTAGGCCTAGCCTAAACTACTAGGCTTCAAGGCTTCGGCCTAGCTTTTTTAATATCATGAATATTCTTCCCAGGGGTACATTTATGTTTACCTGATTCATTTCTAAAACATACCATTTATTGCTGATGTGTTTGAGGCATATTTATGCCATTTAAGACTACAGTTTCAGTATACAATACGCCTTTTCCACGAATCGGTAGGCATCTTGATGAAGTGATGACAAACAACCCATTATGGCCCAATTCTTTGACCCAACACAGTTTATCCGTAACCAACAGAAATAAGATAAGCTTCGATTTGCTGAATTCTTGTCCTTATGTTATCTAAAAATTCATAACTCCATACAGAGGGTCATATCACATTAATTATTTCTGGAAAAGAAAATGTTCTCAAAAGACTATTCTACAATGGAAAAAGAAAAGCCTATGTAAAGTAGTGTACTATTAAAATAGACCTCCATTTACAGTCTGAGTAACTAATTCCTCCATAGAGTAGGCCCTACTCTCGCTAGCATTGTTTTATTTTACCATATGAGAGTTTCCTGTGTTAAAAACATAGTTTAGGCTACTATACTATACTTCTTTATAAAAAAAAAACATAACGTTTAAATCAAATACGGCTCAAAAAATTCCAGGTAAAGCTGATTTTGAGTACTGTAAAAAACAAGCTTTTTTTTCATTCATTCGCTTGGCTATAGTGATCACAACATGGACGCCCTATGTTTTGTACACGTTATAAACAGCTTCTCCTAAAAAAATATTTTTAGTTTGGTATTGTGTAGTTTCTATGAAATATTTAATTGAAATGTTAATAACTACACTCAGTGCTCAATACAGATCAAAACAAGATCAAGATTATATTTAGAGATAAATATTTAATTATAATTTTATGAATAATGTATTTATTTAATAATGACGATTTGTCATTACAGTGTTTTTAATGAATAATGTGTTGTTTCCTATACGTACCCCGTCTTGACTATTCACATTGCGTGCAGAAATCCTGACTGCTGCTCTCAGTTGCTGAGCGTAGCCGAGATCAGCAATGAGATGTAGAATACACTCACCACGACCAAGGACCTACACAATGAACAAGGAATATGAAAACAGAGAATATACAACACATCATCTCTTTAAAAAAATATTTTTTAGGCCATTATACTTTTTATGGATTTTTCCTATAAAATTGTACAATTAATATTCAGTGTACATTGACTACTCGAACAAATACAAACATAAATGTGAATTTTCTATGTAAAGCTCGTTTTCATTAATTTTTAACAGGCTTTTTTGCATTCATTTGGCTTGGCTATATCATTATCACAACATGGACGCCCTATGTTTTGTACAAGTTAATCACCATCTCCTAAAAAATATTTTTAGCTTATGTAGTTTTTTTTATATTTCTTATTGAAATTTTAATTACAATATTCAGTGTTCAATACAGATCAAAACAAGATCAAACATGACAATGATTGTTTTATGTAAAACTGATTTTTCAGTGATTTTCAACACCTTTATTTTGGTTGTCAGCTGCTTCTCTTCCTCATTCGAGGCGCAATGTTGATATTTGCACGACAACCGTGCGGGAAATTTCAACAATAAACAATCAACATTGATCGTAAAATACAATAAAATATCATATTTATAGTGTGGATAATGATTAAGATATGTTTTAAATGTAATAAGTTGTTGTTGTTAGGTAAGAATTGATGTAGAGTGGTGTATGGTATGTTGTGTATAGATGCTGTGTTGTTGTATTTTGTGTGTTGATGTCGTAATTGTAATGATACATAATTCTACTCACCGACCACACGAAGTCCATTGTTTCTGCCGTCGCTGATTTTAAACTCTCACTGATGACATCACGTGGTGGGCTTCGCCACACAATCAGATATAATAACGGGCCGCCGGCCTACGAAAACAACAAAATACGATGATAACAAAACACATTCAACTATCACACATACACAAAATATCACATATAAACACAACTTAATCACATCATAATTAAAATAAATAATCACAATCAATTAAATATTCAAATATTATTACAAATTAACTCCCTATTTAAAGCTAATCGTTTAAAAATCGTAAATTTTATCAATTTTTTTAATTAACGCTTTTCCCTATTCTTTTGCATTGAAAAATTTTATGTTAATTTAGGGTTTTGTTCAGATCATAATTTTTTAGGAATTTTGTATTTTTAACACTCTAGATATATTTCTTTTGTATAAAGGTTTGAAAAGAATACTGACAATAATATGTTTTATCCACTAGTTAAGATTTTTCTTCATCATTAGGCCTATACTGACTTCAGAGAAAATTGCCTATTCTTTATCATTAGATACACAACTCCTGTTTACCCATTTGTTCGGAATCATATTTTTTTTGAAAAGCTACATTTTTATGATCATATTTGACTTTCTCTTGAGTAGAGTTTTAAAACTAATCCAAACACATATATGTTTTAATGACTAATTAACAATTTTACCTAGCTTTAAACCTATACTACTTTTAAAAAAAAATTGCCTATTCTTTATCATGGGATATGACTATCTCTGTTCGGAATCATAATTTTTTCGAAATATCATATTTTAAACCTCGTAACTACGTTTCTCTTGATTAGAGTTTTATAACAAATACAAAGACTTATATATTATATTGATTAATTAAACGTTTTGCAAAGCATTAGAAGCTTCAGACAAAATCTGCCTATTCTTTATCATTAGATAGGCCTATACTTAGCCTACCTCTGTTCGGAATCATAATTTTTTCGAAATATTATATTCTAAACATCGTAACTGCCCTTCTCTTGATTAGAGTTTTATAACAAATACAAAGACTTATATATCATATTGACTAATTGGAAAAATTACAAAAACATCTTTATATAAACTTCAGAAAAATATGTATATTTTATCATTTGGATACAGGCCTACACATAATAACATATTATTTTGGCTGGAATAATAATTTTGTTTTGCATTTGATATTTTGTTTTTTTTTAATTAAAAACTCAATTTTTATTTAACTTCAAGACGAATAGAATAGAATATTTCGTTATCAATTACATGGTACCGACGACAGTGTAACGGAGTTACTATATAGTATGTACGGTAAGTACTGTAACAGTTGTCAGTGCTTTAAAAAATCGAAAATAACGAGGGCGCTAGACTAGTATTTTTGGTTATCAGAGAGATGATCGTCGCTCGTCTGAATTTATTGTGCACCCAAAATAATAGCTAGTAATTTATGTTATTTCTGTATGTTTGTTTACGTATGCATGCACATGCATTTTGTATAAGTGCTACTGTATCAAAGTGGATCCAATAAATTGATTGATTGGTTGATTGATTGACCGTGTTTTGCCCAAATTAAGAGGGGCATTAATCCATACAATAATTTATAGCCAGACCAATTGACTTCACATTTAACTATTGTAAAATGCATGATAACTGAAGTAAATATTTCGTGGTTAACAATTACATAGTTAGTAGAAACGTATCTTACTTTAATTATTTATATTAGGAAAAATTTCAATACAATATCAATGAATTCGTTTGATGCGCAGGTATAAATTCATGAAGATGTCTCCAGTTATTTTGTATAAGATCAATCCCACAATTCAATTTAATTTATTTAAAAAAACCCTCCGTAACGAAGAAGTAAAATAGTACAACATAACAATTTCATTAACATGGTCAATTTCATTACAAAAACCAGAAAAATTGAGAAAAATGTTTTAAATACAAAATTCAATTAAATCAATAAAAGGAGAGAACAAAACACCACTTTAACAGGTACAGACAAAACAACAGACTAAGAAAATACCGGTACTTAAACACACCAAAGAACCAGCAAACAAAGATGAACAATTTTACTTGCACTTCGATTTCAGTATATTAAAATATTAGGCCTATAAAGATTACGTAATGGTGAAAAAAGGTTGGAAAGGTGACAAAAGTTCCTTTATATAAGTTTAAGACTATATAATTTGATAAAAATGAGTCAATAAATAAAATTCACTGAACACTGTCAGCGATACCACTTTGGTAGCCACCACCCTTTTTGCATTTTTTCTTACTAAAGTGAAAGAATCTCTTATCAAATTTCAGATTACTGAAGGAAAAAGACTCATGAGCAAATGAGGATTTTTTTCCTCAATGAGTGTATTTTTGTATGCCAAATTATTACGGGCTTCACAACTTGAGCGTAGAATCGCCTAGCGATAGACGAGTTATTTAAATTGTGGAAAAGTAGGTCTAACTCCACAGCATCAGATATTCAATCTTCGGGACACCAAGTACAAATAGTAAGTCTGACGACCTGCAATATTTTGGAAGAATAATTTTTAAATTATTACAGCAGTACGGTTTTTTTTAAATCTTAAAAAATAATTTTTAATTCTTTTTAGACGTAGTTCCCCAAATTGATATTGCATAGTCTCCTGGTTTTTTATATAGGAGCATTCTATCCTGGATCGCGAGAAAATGTAACTAATAAAATATATTTTAATAAGAAACCAGAAAGTAATAACCATAGCCATTAAAAATTTAAGGCTCGCTTTCACCTCACCAAGGTGGCTTTCGGCAACAGTTTCGCAATAATTATGCCTATTCAATTTTTTGTATAAGTAGATGAAATGTTTGTGTGCTCGAATTAAACATAAATTCAAATTGTAGGTTATTTTATTTAAAATAGTTTGGTTTATATACCTGGTATTGTCAGGAAACACTCCCTGAAATCATTATAAAACAGCTTAAAAATTCTCAAATCGTCGTTTTCACAGTAAATTCAGATACAAAGACGATTCTCTGACAACCGAAAATACTTGTTTAGCGCCCTCTTTTGTTCACATGTTATTTTGTACTACTAAGATCTTTGTACACATTATTTTCCTATTAAAAGGGACTCGAACCTGCGACCTCTCGCTGTCAAGGCGAGTGTCATAACCACTAGACCACGGAGGCTTCATGGTTGAACAGATTCAAATACCACCAGATACACTCCATTACACAATAGGTACGGCTAGAACAAATAGGTGCATATAACATAAATCAAGGTAGCCGTTAACACTGTATAATCATATATAAATCATCAAAGAAAGGTAAATACAGTGTTCGAATAAAGGACTGAACATTCGTTGAGAGCTATGCTACACGATGTATTTATTCAGTCCTTTTTATACACATAAAATGCCTCTGGCGGGACTCGAACCTGCGACCTCTCGCTGTCAAGGCGAGTGTCATAACCACTAGACCACGGAGGCTTCATGGTTGAACAGATTCAAATACCACCAGATACACTC